TGTTGCAGAATGTATTGTATTCTTGGTCAGGTTTCTTGGTGTTGCAGGATGTATTGTATTCTTGGTCAGGTTTCTTGGTGTTGCAGGATGTATTGCATTCTTGCTCAGGCTTCTTGGTGTTGCAAGATGTATCGTATTCTTGGTCAGGTTTCTTGGTGTTGCAGGATGTAAAAATGCTTTGCACTAAATAATACAAAATATTGCAATGTCTATTATTTAATCAGTGTAATTTAGTACATTTAGTGCTAGCTATGTAGTACTCTTTTACAGAGATAGTATTTGCACTGCGTTGTATTTTTTTTTAGTTTTTTCTATGGCGTTGCAGGGTGCATTGCATTCATATGAAGGGCCTCGTGTTGTTGTAGGATATTGGTATTATTGGCCAGGCTAGTTAGTGTGCTTTATGTAATGGATTCACGATTATATACGTATTTCATGGTGCTGCATGGTGCATATGTTGTATGAGGTTTATTGATGTGGAATAATGTGTTGTTTATTGGTGTATTGTTGTTTATCTGACTATTCTCTTCTTTTTTGTTTGTTTTTGGCTTCCCTGGAACCCTGCAACACGCTGAGAGAACCAAACTACTAAATAAAAATCTCAAGAATCTCCAATCTCAGAAGGAAAATACATCATGAACGATTAGATTTTCTTGGCAAACAATATTCTTAGAATGTTGAAATAGTAATTAATCCTTCAGCATAACATCTACGAATCTGTCACGTTTCTCACGTGACTTTCAAAAAAATTCAAAATACTGCCAAAAACTAGAGCTTCTTGTCAACAAAATTGAATTACCTTAGTGAAAGAACTAATTATCCCTTAGAGAGAGAGAAAAGTGGTAGTAGAGATCATTCACGTGACATGATCACGTGACACGGATGTTTGGTTGGAAGCCTAATTACACTCAACACACTTTTTGTATTTCAAGATTTGTGTTTAGGTTCATTGGTTGTTTGGTTATGTGCCCACTGACTGTTTCATCTTTATTCAATGCGCTTATAGGGAAAAATATTGCTCTTTGCTCAGACGTTTTGGGATTATTTTTATAGATGCTCARGCCAATAAAGATATCACTGAAAGCAAGACTTCTTCCCTAGAACTTGTCTACAAGTTTATTGCACCTGGTGCCATTGGAGGACTCATTCTTGTCCTACTCATCGTTTGCTTCATGTGGCATCAGCGGCGATCAAAAAAGAAGCGTAAGCACCAACAGGAAATGGAGGCGATGAGTCTACAGACTCTTAGTGAAAACATGAAGAGTCCCACCCGGAAAGATACCGTGAAATTAAAAGGTGAAGTTACGCGAGGCGAAGGAAGCATCCGCTACGCGCCGCCGAAGTCGATACCTCAAGAAGACTCACTTCAAAGAGTCAACATAACGCCAAACCAGTTGGCGCAATTCGATGAGTGTCATACAACTCTTAGTGTCATCTCTGAGAGCGAACCTTCGGGAAAATGCCAGTCGCAGGCAGCCTGCAAGTCGCCAGATGAAACAACAGAGAAAGACCCGAACAGACGGCGACAATATGCTGAGATTTGTGTGGGAAACAGCGATAAGGTCGAGGATGAGCGTTATGTGAAACACGGAGACAAATCGAGAATCTACGCTGAACCATTCTCAGTCCAACCCGCCCCAAGCTCTCCCGCCAAGTCCACATCAAGTGAAGCCAAGTACGAGAACATGCAAAATCTGTATGAATTCCTTGATGTCAAGGATGACCAAGGTAAYCCATTGTATATGAACATTGATGGTTTTGGTGAGGACCTTAAACCCGAAGGGGAGGATCTGTATGAAGAGATTCCCGCTGACCGACCTGAAAGTCATTCCGAGGAACATGAACCGCTACTTCTGCAGTCTCAAAGAAACGAAGAAGACGAAACTAAATAGCTTCTCAATCGCTTTCATAACTACGACTTATAAGGATTATGTTATGTCCATCATTCCTTCGTGAATTCAGGTAGACATTGGATGCTTCGTACTGACGAGAGACTCGACCATTCCTTGCCAAAGCAGTACATATTCCTCAATACCAACTTGGCTTGAGTGGCAGACACTAATAGTAAGGAATAAGAATTGTTTCTTTATCATTAGTTAGTTTATTTATTATTTATACAGTTTAAAATTAGCTACGTATGTTATAGTCAATTTAAATCAGTAATGTAGTGCTGCCAGTTGAAATAGATGTTTTGTTAGTGCGGTAATTTGCATCACTGTGTGGTATTGGTGGCAAGTATATGTTAAGCAGTTAAGGGAAAATTGAAAAATAGCGGGACTTTAGGAGGCTTGAACGAATACCTAATTCGAAGCTAGCACCCACTCTCTGCGCCACGGTCGTGCAGTGTTGCATTTATTGTGYGGTGCGGTTTAGTGCGGCATTTTGATTGACTAGCTCAGTCATGCAGGAAACTTAGGAAGCCAGTCGTAAAGTTAACGAGATCGTTTATTTCCGAACGTCCTGGCCTTAGAATTATTCGTTTATTTAAATAATAGCGTTAATACTTAACTTTTTACTCAAGAATTTATAGTTCATAGGTCCAAAAAGTTGTCAAGAGATGGCTTAGAACGATTTTAACCATTCAATTACATCAAATACCACCTTTCAAGTGTTTACGAAAGTCAGATTCACTTTTCAACATTCTTGAGAAATTCTCAAGTTCACAAGTTCAAAGTTTGCTGCGMACTACTGCTATACGCATGCGTGGTACGAGCGAGGCTAAATGTTAATCGTTTGAGGCCAGCTTAACTCTTGAACATGTCTGTAAATAACGACTTTCACTTTGAAAGAAAAAAGGTTTTGAGGAATATATTCCTAACATAAAAGTAACCAGCTTTGAAATTTTTCAACGAAATACTGAAATACCGTAAATTGTTACTCGCTACTTCGTTTCAGTTGTTTCTAGCCTTGTGATGGCGAATTGTCACATTGTTAATATTGCGTGCGTACCAAAATTACATCGTTGTAAACAAGTCATCGTCTTTTCAGGTTTTTTTTCTAAGTTCTTTTTAGCTAGAGACCAATGATAAATCATTTCTATACTACTTCCTAGCTTAAAAATAATTTCATCATTTAGTCATGTCTGATTATTGTAGCTCCCCAAATCCAGGGACTGGGAGAGTTCATGCCTGTTCACAAAACAGTCTTTTAACAAGAAAGAGTGCTTGAAATTTAGCAATTTTTAAGTCATAGAAACATAGGTTTAATAAATTAGTGTTAACAAACATAGTGGATGGTAAAGTTTGGCTGGACTGATCAACCGATCACACGTCTTCGTTATCGGCTTATTTATCTATTTAGTATGTGACTTACAATAGTGCTAACACTTCACAGTAGTAGATGACCTGGCAGTTTTATATTTTACTGAGTGAGAGGTTCATTTTATCGTGAAGCTTCGTGAGCTGTTTTCAGCTCGTTCCCAGTCCCTTGGTCGTTTGCAAAGGGGATTTTATAGACTGACAGCTTGATGTATTCCCTTAGCAACATAAGCATTGAATATAGAATTGTATTATTGATCCCTTGATCCTTTACAAAGGGGATTTTATAGACTGACAGCTTGATGTATTCCCTTAGCAGCATAAATATTGAATATAGATTGTATTATTAATACATGTTAGAGTTAAAGTTTGTTATAGAAAATAATGCATACATATAAGGTATATATATAGCCTGTATAGTAGCATAAGGGAATACGCCTGAATCGAGATGACGTTTTACCCCCGTCTCTAGACCATAATCCTTTTCACATTGCTTTTGTTCTTTAATTATGACTATTKTTCCTGTATTCTCTAAGGAATCAAAAAATTCAATATGAAAGAATTTTAAAAACTATTATGGTATAGATTCGGGGGTAAAACGTCATCTCGCTTCAAGCTTATTGGAGAAAAAAAGGGGCTGAGAAGGAATGGAGCGCTCCTTATTCTCGTATCCAGACTACTAAATTCACACCTGAAAATCGTAGCTTTCATGAGTAGAGTCTGGATACGAGAATTAAGAGCCCCCCCACCGAGTCTCCAGATATCCAATTGTGCTGCTCCCACAGTTTAAATAATGCATTGCAGTCATTATCCAATTTAGATTTTCCGCGTGGACTCTATTATATACTAGAAACAAAAATTATGTGTGATCATACAAGGATAAATTGATCAAGGTTAYATGTTATTAATTCAAAGTTTGAACACAATTATGATGTATATATATCGTTAGATTTTAAATAATAATTGTTGAGCTAACGATTACAATAAAATAAATTCTAAATGAAATTAAAATATAAAGGATACTGGTAATAAGTAATAAAATGGGTTATACAAAACTACCGTATTGCTGTTTTAGTCTATAACAAGAACAGACATTTCTCCAGGCTGCGCCATATAATAGTACATAAATCATTGGTAAAGGACAGAGTCTCGGTTTCCGTTTCGTTGGCCATAAGGCTGCATTTATAATGTATGGCAGGGGGGGTGGTGAAAATTTGAAATGTCCAGAATAATTCTTAACAACCCCCTTAAAGTCATGCAAAAAAATACGATCCCCCCTAAGCAAGGCTTGTAGTTTCTTCCAAAAATTGTGCGTCCCTCTCATTTTTCTGATAAAAATTTGCCCATCCCCCCCTTTTTCCTACCAAAGTTTTCCCGATCCGCCCTCAATTTCACCTGCCCCCCCCCTCCCTCTGCCATACATTATGAATGCAGCCTAAAACCATGAAATTCATTCCTTAAAGGGGAAGAGATCCCCAAAAACTGAGGGAAAATTCCTTTGACTAAGCCTTGAGTGCTCACTTATGGCTCTGGTGTGTTACACATCGAATATATTTTCAATTAAAGAGACTACAGATCGCAGCACGCAAGGTATCACTGCTACTTTCATTGGCATCTGCGAAGCAAGATTTAAAGCTAATAGTCCAAACTACCGATCCTGTCTTCCAAAAGCTAATGTAGCTTTCTCTACGAGTGAGTGCTGAATGGCCTTAAACTATAGTCAATAGCTCCTGCTGTACCTAACATTCAATGTAAGTGCACGCGCAAACATATTTAGGCCGCGATTTATGATAAGCATGTGGCTTTCACGGTATGGTTTCTCGTCCGCAGACGGAACTAGTCAAGAACGTGCGTTACGTTGAGTGCGAAAAATCTCCCATTGATTTTTTTCCGGGCTTTCACGGTATGGTTTCTTGTGCGCAGACGGAACTAGTCAAGAACGTGCGTTACGTTGAGTGCGAAAAATCTCCCATTGATTTTTTTTCGGGCTTTCACGGTATGGTTTCTTGTGCGCAGACGGAACTAGTCAAGAACTTGCGTTACTTTGAGTGTGAAAAAGCTCCCACTGATTTTTTACCTGGCTTTCATTGGTTCGACAAAAAACATTAAAAAATCCTCGAACAAAGGTTGCGAACGTACGTTCATCTAAGCATGAATCGTGTAAAAAATGCGRTCAACAACATTGATCATTAACCCTCCCCTCCCATACTGTTTCTTCATTGGTTAAGATCAGTTCACGCTTTTCTACCAAAGTAGCCAAACGTCGACATTAATAATCTTATTTTCTATCCGGATCTGGCGATAAAAGGAAATTCGAAGAAATACATTCGTTTTGAGAGGTAAGCCCTTCCTCTATTTTTCTCTATTATTCATTTCGTTTTCTTTCCACTATATAAATAGAGCATTTTTCTTTCGTATTTTTGATCGAAAGAAAGACATGAGGCGACGAGATTCTGTTATTTTCACCAAGTTGTATCCTGCGGAACTAAGTGTCGACTTTATATTTTATACAGCGTGATTAATATTACGGGTTTCCTGTGTCTTCCGCTCTACATGTATTTGTGTGACGCGTGACAATAGGGGATGCTCCGTGGGGGACTGGATCTTAGTGATCTTTATAAATATCCTAAATGCTGGCAGTATTGACCGGTCAGGCGAAGCAACCACGAATCTCAACGCACCAATCACACACGCATTTCTGAAAAGCATCTGTCATTTGCTRGTCGCCATCAACCAACAAAAGCGCTCTTTCACGCAAGGGTATACGTGTTTCGGTACATGTAAGCGCTGAAAATCGAACCCGATAAACAATAGGCGTTTGCATAATATAGTTATCTTAACGATTCAGTTCAAACATGTGCGTTCCTTGGCGGCGGGTGGGGCGTTATGGCCTATAAGGACTCATTTTGTCTACGCTCGCCATTTTGGGGGCCAAAACTTTAAAATTTTGGCGTTTTAAGGTCCAAGAGACTAAAATAAACCCAGTTTTTCGGTCATATAAAGGGGGGCAAGTTTTCAAAAAATTGATATTTGGCTTATTTATGACGAATACTCCACGATTTGGTAGAATTYGAAGAGAAAAATTGAAATTTGGAAGATTGCTCGATTAGTTTTAGAAGAGCGTAGTTTGCACACAACGACYACTTGGAAGGTCACAGGAAAAAGAAACTGCAACTGCGCGTGCGCAGAACTCTTGTGAGCGTGCGCAGTAGGGTAAAATAGTGACTTAGTCGTAGAGCGGGCAAGTTCAAGATGGACAGAAGTTCAACTAGATAGAAATTGTGGAAAAGGGTTAACCATCACGGTCCCCTTGGAAAAACCTCCTTCATGGGATATGGAAACGGAGAAATTGTCCGACCACCCCACGTCAAAAGGGAGCCACAAGTGTGTGGATAAAGAGCAAGAGCATACAATTCGTTTTGCTCTTGAACTGAAGGAAAGCAACGATAGGTATTTTCCTGAATTCTCGTTCAGAGAGCTGCTTCGTTCTGCTGTGGTTAGTATTTTGAGATTTGGAAAAAATCCCTTCTGCTTTCTAAATCTCCGTCCGTTTGCCGGTTGGTCGCGAGATTCATCTCGATATTTGGATTCGTCGTTAAATTTAGATCCAACTTGTTAGATTAACTGTTTACGTTTAACATACAGCCCAAGGTCGGTGAAGCCACAGAGAATGATTTACCAGCCGACGAAGATGGAGATCGTGAAAAACTTCAAGCCCTTGCTAAGAAATTCGAGGAAAAATATGTGAGTATTGATTTTACAGAGTGTTTGTGTTGAACGTAAGTTTTAGTGAGGTTAACACGCGTGCCGGACAGTGTAACTGTTGTGTGACCGTGAATTCTTGGTCAAAACTCTGGCGTTATTTTTCTTGTAGGGTCCAAAACAAAAGCATAAAAAGAAACGAAAAGAAAGAATCGAAGTAAGTCTACCTGAATCCTTTTGTTCTCCTGTATTTTTTAGCAATCGAGGGATAATTTTATCGATTTTCATCGAGAACGTTAATAGATAAGCCTCATTGTATATCGTAAATACTTTTTCAATTTGTTCATTGTGTGTCGTATTATCATAAAAATTAAATGAGGGTCTAGAAATTTTGTTATGCTAAACGTAAGGGCTAAAATAATTATTCTTTATACAACAATTCGATGTCCATTTTGGGGTTTTATTTTCGTTGTGTATATCGTGTGTACCATGGTGATAGAGCCCCATTACCACACTCAGAGTTTTACATTGTGTACACTGACTTGTAGAACACACAAGTGTTCTTTCTTACTTTTTACCGACATTGGATAGTTAGATTCTTAGCTAGTACCAGTAGGGGAAAAAACACGTTAAAGACTAGTTGCGTCTTTAATGTCAAATGGTTGTGTTGTAAGGATGTAATATACAATAATTAGAAATATACACCGTGCTTAATTACGTGTCATCTCATTGTCTTTACCCAATGTTTTCACTCTCTGATTCGATTCTTTTTTTTCCTTACAAGTAAGGTCATAGTGATATACAACCTTCTAGATTGTATCTTGTTATTTTATGTTATAATGATACCTTCTCCACTTATTAGAAAAGAATATTAATGTAGCTTATACTAACGACAACCATTTAAAATCAAATGTAGCTCATATTAACAAAAACCATTTAAAATCAAAATGGAAAGGGGAAACCGCATAATGGTGATTGCAAAAAAATTTCTGAAACATATCTGACATTCCAAAGAAATCTTCAACAAAGCTAAGCTGACCTTTTTTAAGCTTTTACAAACTTTRCTGAATGAAACATTAAGAAATTTGTGGAGGATTAGCCAATGCAATGTTTGCTCACCTGTGAAATGATCAACTTGGAAAGTATCTTACAATAAAAAAAATCAGCACTAACCATTGACAATTGCATTTTTTGTCATGTGACATGTTAAACAAAAAATTCATATGTATGTGATTTTTTCGATTATGACATAGTTGTGGATGCAGTAGAAAATACAGATTTTTGCATCACTTTTTATTAATTTTGAGAATAGTTTTRATGATGTGAAATTGTTCTTCGTTTTATTTATTTTTGTGGTTTCCACTTTTTATAACACAATAGCRCAGCGCGCTRATTCTAAAAATAGCTTAAAGATTCGGACAAACATTGCATTCTGTTTAACTGCTACGAGCATTATACGAACCGATTTTTTTATTTTTAYTTAAAAGTTACGATAATAACCCATGTAAACTTAGATCACCTGCGATYGGCTGTGAAAATTATCTGCTGAAAGTAAACTTGTAACTTCGTTTGTCCGAATTTTGTCTTTGTCTTCATTTTTATGACGTCACGGCTGCGCTGCGCTATTGACCTCATGCAGCAGCCATGTTGACTGCACCAATAGATTTCCCCATGTAACCTAACATTCAAGTACTCAAGAATAAATTTATGCATGTAACAAAGGTTTATGTTTTGATGCAAATAAACATGGCTGCTGAATGAGTAAGGCCAATGCTTAATAATTGAGGGACTAGATTTATGGGGAAACTAAGGCATGTATCTACATCTACATTTATATGCATCTGCAGTTCTAACTACACAAAACCTGTAGTTATTTATGAAACATTTTTACCCTAAGATAATTAAATACTAACAACCTTGCATGTAYATATTCCTTATGGCTGCTTAGAAAAGCATATGTTATGTCATCTATTCAAGGACCTGTTCATCGTAATTAGAACTTAGCGGTTAGAGCATCCAACAAGTATTATTATGTCATAGGTTCAAAACCTTGAGTTCCCTATGTTGTGTTTCATCAATATTCTACATATTCCATAGAAATAACCTATATTACGTGACTGTATTGTGTTGGTTATGCTTTTAATGTAGTTCTTTAATCACTATTTTACCAGGACCTAGTGGATGTGAGTTATGGCTATGATGAAACAGATCCTTTTGTGGATAACAGTGAGGCTGTAAGTATACAACATTTTTACTCCTTTTTACACGAAGTGTATACAGACCTATTTTGAAAAAAATCGTCAGAGCCAAAAGCAATCTAGGCGATAGGAGATAGGTCAATCAATGATCCAAGAAAAACTGGCATAACTTTTGTTTGTTCTTCTTATTTTTGTCAAGATCTTGAGATATCCATATCGTAATTGATAAAAAAATATTTTTATTCCTGATTAGTTGTATGCCAATAATTGCTTTCCATCTTACCTATATCTCCTAACTCCTTTCGCTATGACAACCTTTTTTACATTAAAAAAATTCTTGCTTTCTTCATCTTTCTCCTTTCTTTATAGCTCACACTACACTTTATTCTTTAGTCTTGAGCATGCTATTTGGTATTGATAGAWACTTGTGATGGTTTGAAAGTTGTCAAATTGGACTTGCCTAAAGACAAATCCAATTTCAAAAGCTTTAAAAACATCACTCATACCTATTGATTCTGAATTGTACTGAAGATTATGCTATTTCCTATACTTAATGGATATTGATACAATTATTTTTGTCTGTTTTTGCTAGTATGATGAACTGATCCCAGCAGACTGGACCACGGAACACGGAGGATTCTACATTAACCAGGGGGGACTATCTTTTAAACCAGTATCATCAGATGATAGGTAATGCCTAACACTAGCTAGTTATATAATAAAGTACTTTAACAGTCAGTTCTAAAAGAAATAACTTTTGACTTTTTTAGTGATGATGATGACTTCAAAGGCAAGAAAAGAAAAACTCCAAAGGTAAGTGTTCAAGGATCTAAAATAGTGGCTGGTTAATCCCTGGTCATGATAGCTATAGCTCTCAGTCATACCTCATTTCTGGCTCAATATTACTGGTCAAAATGATCATTCAGGCCAAGATTTGACCAGCCAAGTTCCAACTGACTACTTCAATGATACAGTGGCCATCTTGCCACAAAGATGATGGAAAATATATAAAGTTTTGCGTGTTTGTCTTTTTTTTATGGGTAAAGGTGGTCAATGTGCCATCTTAATTCATCTTTTGTTGTGTTCTCTTCTCGTGATCTGTTAAATATCAATTGACATCATTACTGTAACAAAGCTTTATTTGCCAACTGAATGTCCCATAATGCCTTGCAATCCAAGATGGCCACTGCATTGTCGAAGTGATCCATTCTGGCCAGACATTGTCCAACAACTGGTCGTTATTTTTAGCTCTGGTGTTGAAGTGTAGATCAGTTTCCACATGAGTGGGAAACCTACAGTACTGACTTACAATAAATTTGTAATACTGAAATGGCCTTCTAATATTTTTGTATGATTCATCCAATCACGACATGTAGTTTCAGCTATAGTAGGATATGATATGGCTACAGTACTGTGGGTGTGCTGCAATTCTTTTAGTAATATTGATTTTTTTCGTTAGAAATTAAAGGATCCAAATAAAGTCAAAAAGATCAAAGAATCTGGGGAAAAAGAAAAGAAAAGAAAGCATTTGACGCCAACAGACAAAGAGAAGAAACCAAGAAAGATAAGACTCATCAGGTAAATAGTGGTAGCTTATTCTAATCCATTTTCCTTGTTTTTCTTTCCTTTCCCATTTTATCCTTTCTTTCCCTTTTTCCTTTCTCTTTCCTTCTTTTCCTTTTCCTTTCTTTTTCCCTTCCTTTCCCRTTTTTTCCTTTCTCTCTTCTTTTTTCTTCTTCCTTTTCCCTTTCTTTTTCCCTTTCCCTCTCATTTCTCGTCCCTCTATTCCTGGAATACTTTATGATATAGATGATGTTCTTTTTGTTTTAAAAAGTGGAGACAAAGAGAAGAAACTCAAGAAAAAGATCACCCTTAGTGGCGCATCCCCTGCTGTGACCTCCTCAGGGCCATTATTAATAAAGTCATTACCTCCTAACACAACATCCAGCCTATCAGGAATACCAAAGACAACAACAGCTACTTCCACTGCTGTCTCTCCCACTGGAAGTTCTGTCTCTTTAGCATCATCATTGATGTCATTAGGAGCTGGTAATGTAATCCAGGGAATGTCACTTGAAGGGTCACCACAGTCTGTAGAAAATGCAAATATAAAAACAGAAAAACAAGGGCCATTAATAGCCGAGAATTCTGCRGCAGACTCTCCAATGTTGTCATCAGAAGCAGTGTCTAATGTTGGAAGTGTATCAAATGGTACATCGTTAATCAATCAAAATGGACTGACGTCAGGAGAAGGAATGGGAGAAGATGGCTCATATGTACCTAAATTGCCACAGTATTTACCGCTATCGGTAGAGGCTTGTGTACAAAAGCTGAAGAAAGCAGCAGACAATGCCGTAGATGAAGGAAAATGCAAATTCTTTAATAAAGATGTCAACCAGCTGCTTCTAGAGTAAGTCATATTTATATTCTGTCATGCTAACAAAGAACAGAAGAGTCATCCCTGAGATGAATTACTTGTAATGTAGTGATTCATTCATGGGGAGAATCAAGGGTGGGGARTCAAGATGGCATGGTGGTAAAATGCTTCCCTTTCACGACTGAGGTTCGGGGTTAGAATCCCAGTCTCTCCATGTGAGCTGAGTTGGTTCTATTTCCAAGGGTTTTTCCTCTAAAATCAACCCTAACTAATTCGAACTGGTTAGAGCTGTGCTCCGGGGTCATACATGGATTATATAGCTGTATGAGGCTGCCAGAGGCACCTTCACATGCTTTCAGTTTGACCCTGTTGAGGATAGCCAGTGCTGTACTTGCGGTGGAGACTAGTGATAACAAGTTTGTARAACTAGTGCACTCACCTCTGATTTTTAGGGTCTCAGGTTTGATTTCCAGACTTGGCATCATGTGATTATGAGTAGAGCTTGTTGGATCTCTACTTTGATTGTGGTTTWATGATGGTACTTGTGTTTATATAATGATTATATAGTTATAAAATTCATAGTTCTGTTAAATTAATGATTTGTCATTCTGTTATAGGACTGAAACAAAATCTAGAGAGCTGAGCTGTAGAGTGAGATCAGTAAGTGAATTGATAAAAAAGATTTGAATCTTTTTATTATGATATTCACAACAGAATATATTATCTAGATCTGATTGTGTTATTGTTTTTTAAAGGGAATTTATGATTACTTGGCCTACTACCTTCCCTGCACCAAAGAAACTTTACTGAAAAGAGCAAAGAAATTGCTGCTTACAGACCAGGTAAAGACTGTAGTTTCCTTGTGTCTACATAGACAGACAGATAGACAGACAGGGAAGAGCAGATATAGAGCTAGTTATTGGGCCTAGATCTTATCAGAATATCTTTAGTATGGTAGTTACTGCTTAGATAAAAAAAATAATGAACGACGGCAAAGGTACTGCTAGCTTTCCACTCCAGAAATTGAGCCAAGTTTAGAATACATGACAAACTGCTTTTGCCAAGTCATGAAATCAAGTAATATTGCAATCAACTTTGCTTTCCTCTCATCTCCTTGCTAGCACAATAAAGCATGCAGTCTCAAGCTTCAACTAGCTCTTTATTTTAAATTGACCATTGCAGTAGTGTTAAACGACCTTAGCAGGATTTTAAGAGAAGTTCAATTAGTTTGGTTCGATCAATCGCAATATCATTGAACTCTGTTCAAACAAATGAAATTTAAATGAAATTATACAGCACAGTACAGTATAGTACAGAACTGATGATGTCGTGCTTGTACAGTAATGTACTTTTTGTTTCAGTTGAGGCTGTTGTATTGAACATTGTAGCTGAAAGTAGTAGTGTGCAGTACAGTAAAAAGAAAGCAGTCAACAAATAAAGCTCACAAACGTCTTTAAATGAAATTGTAGTTCTTGTATAATAGTGCACTTTTAGTTCTACTTTAGGCTGTTATATTGAACATTGTAGTTCAAGGTTTACAGTACAGTAAAGATAAATGGTTAAAAAAGTGTTTTCAGCTGTTTTTCTGACACCTTGGTTAATAGGGACATCCTGTTAATAAGGACAGTTTTGTCCGTCSCAACRGTGTCCTTATTAAYGGGGTTCCACTGTACTACATAAATGATCATAATCATAATTGTATTTCAGGCTGGAAGATTGCGAGAACCAATGGCAAAGCTCAAAGCAGGTAATACTTTATGCTTAATTAATGAAGGAAGAATGTTTCTTTGTGAGTCCTGGTTGGTTGCTAATGCAGYGCCTCTTGCCTGTGTTCCCCCAAGACATTTCCTAACCCCTCAAAAATAAATTTACATTACTTGAGACACACACACGACATAAACATTATATATATCTTAAAGTTTTCACTGGTAGATCAAAAAATAATACTCAACAAAATGACATGTAGACTTTTGCAAAGTCCTTCATCTCTKATTTAGTTCGCACTGTACTCTGAATAAAGCACAGGCAGCCAGGATCAAATTCACTTGACAAGTGGAGGATTCTTCCAACTTGTTTCCTGCCAATTTAATAGCAAACCAAAAATTGGCTGCTAAAAAATTTAGAGCATACTACAGAAATATTTGTCATTTTTGGCACAAAACTCAAAGTCAACCTTTTGTGACTTCAACACTCRTTCTTTGAGTCTCAGAGAGGTCAGCTTGGAGCATTAGTCTAAATGACGTCGTTTGAACTAGTAAATAACATGACTAAAGAAAAGCATCTATTTGGATTAATTTCTCAATAATATTAACAGAGTTTCGTTAAAAACAAACATCACAAAGTAATCATTATAAGTTTAATTTATACATTTTTTTACAGCCGTTGACAAAGCTATGCCAGAACAGATGAAACGGTTTGAGGAGGAAGTACGCCTTCATGTGGAAGAACATAGTAAACAAAAGTAAGGAGAAATTTTGAATTCATCTGGTAAGTCATGTTTGTAGTGAGTAGTGACTTGATTGTTTTTTGTTTGTTTTACAGTGAAACAAAAGCAGATAGTATTGACCAAAATCCTGAGGACAAAAAGGTAAAAAGTGTTTTAAAGTGCTTTCAAATTGCACACTCAAAATCGTGCAATTTGACATCATGAATCTATTCTAATCTAAAAACACCTTGATTAATGTCCACCAAAAATAATTTGTCTCAATAACAATTCGACATATGCTATAGAGTAGCACTGTAAATAATTCAATATTCATAAGTGTCAGGTTGAAGGGTTACTTGATCTGAGGTCCATATCCTCAAGTCTAGACCTTAAAGTACAGATTCTATTAGTGCGATAATTTGAAATGGCTTTTTAAGTGTTTGAGTTGTGTTGTTTTACAAGCAGAAGGAGCTTTTTAAGAGYGCCATGGAAGTGGATGATGATGGTGAGAAGGTAGATGAAGCTACAACACCAACAGATCCTGCTGTAAGTGCCCATTGCAACTCTTACATTTATTGATAAAGTATCTTTAATTTCATTGTTTCAACCAGGTTAGAGTTTGTTTATATTATTTTTTTTTTTATTTATCAACTTCTAAATTCCAATTTGATATTTTCAACAGGATTAACCTCTTATATCTCCTTTTGCTTCATAATGCAAATAAATTTGTTATTTATTCTTTTTTTTTTGCCACTGGGTCTAACTCACTAGGAATAGGACTAGCAATAGGAAAAATTGGATATCTTTAACAGACAGACAGACAGTTTTCTTTGGAGCATTGCACTTAATTGTGCATTAACTTGGTTCCAAATAAACAATATAAAAAAGCTTTAGCATTACTATTCCCCCCCCCCCCCCCCCCCCCCCCCCCCCCATTTCTCTACCCCTCTAGAATCAAATGTCTACATATCTGCCCCCACCACCATTTTGTCTTATGTCATCATTCATCATCACTGCATTTTTCTTCAATGTCTTTATTCRTCCACTGACGTGACATTGGCACCTTCATTTACAGGCACAAACGGGAACAGAAGAGAAAACAAAGAAACCATCATTACCAAGACGACATTTTGTTTGGACTGATGAATTGAGGTCAGTCTAACCTTTGGTATACTAACTAGTTTATTTTATAGTGTAGTAACAAGTAGTTACCTATGTTATCTTTGTTATGTGTGTAAATGTGTTACGTGTGTATTGGCATTAATTTTAGTTTTTGACGTTTTCTAGGACACTGTTATCTGATGTAGTGACTGTCAGAGTCAAATTATTTGAAATGTCTAAAACAAGAACCACATCAGCTGAAGAATATCTCAAGGTATGTACCTAAGAAATATCGTTTGACATTGTCTGTGCAGACCTTTGTTGAAGGTTGTGAGAGGAAGGAGGAACAGAAAGTATATTTTACTACTTTTTTGTTTCATCTACGATTTTTATTTTAATATAAAGCATATTGTTCTTTCATTTATTCATTCATCCATTCATTCATCTATTCATCCAACTATCCATCCATCCAATTTTTTTTGGGAGGGGGGTTGTTTTTGTCATTTTATTATGAAGAAAAGGGTTGTTAATTTTATTGTTATTCATCATTGATATTGTAATAATAATTTAATCATTCCAGGAATTTTTTGAAACTGAAGTTAAAACCTTGTGGCCCAAAGGCTGGATGACAAGCAGGTATTTTATAAATATACTACTATTACAGTGCAAAAACACTAACCAGGAACACCAAAGTGAAGATACAAAAGACATACGTATTCAGTCTCTCTGGAGGCTAGGGTGTTTTAGGTCCTTCTGGGATGTTTTTTCCTAACCTCCCCTTTCTTGAAGTCTGAACCTGGCATGACTAAAATCAAATCAAATACTTAGGATTCTGCTGCTAATGAAATAAAGTCGAAAAGACAAAAAATAAGAATACAATAATTCATGCTCTATTTTTTTATTTGAGGATATTATTCAAAGAAAGCAGATCAGTGCATACAAGAGTGACAAGTGCTCTGTAAGTACAACTATAGTCTAGGATTTTACTATTTTAGCTTTCTCAGGGAAGGTACATTTTTTATTGCAGGGAAAGATGGGGCTTCAGGGAGGACGGTCATCAGTAAAGGGTCCTTTTTTTGTCAAGCTATTTCCTTCTAACTCTCCCTGTCCCTATCCCTCCCCCTGTCCCTCTTCCTCTCCCTCTCCCTCTCCCTCTCCCTCTCCCTCTCCACCTCCTTCCCACTCTCAATAATAAAGTACCTTCCTGTCACCTATTTCTATGTTTGTATCATAATTTTATTTTTGTAAATTCATAACCAATACAGGAGCAAAATAAGCTATTGACATTTTTAGTTAACATTTTTTTCAAAGTAGTTACAGTAATCATGAACTTTTTTTATTTTTGTATTTTTTAGATTCAAGCCCAAAAAAGGTGAGGGAAAATTCATGATTTATTATTCAATTTTTAGGAATATTGGAATATTTTTTATTTATATTAAAATATGAGTGATGTTTTTTATGTACAGTTCCAGGACCCAAGAAGCAAGGTGAAGCACCATCACCCAGCGATGCTATGGACACATCTAGCCAGGTAAATCATGTATTAATGACTTTGATTCCTATACACCTTGATACCAATCATGAACAACAAACACCCCCATTTTAAATCAATATAAGCTTACCATTTTTGAGTTCCAAGGTGTGTGTGTGTGGGGGGTGATTATTTCATGGTCCAAGTCACTCTAACAGACCTGTATGAAAATTCATTCAATTCGAAACTCATTGTTTGTGTATTCAGAATGCGGAGTCCATAGCCAAAGATGATGCAGTTTCCATGGATACAACATCGTCTGTGAATACATCAACGACCAGTACAATTGCTACATCTGTTGCTAAGTCAACTACAGTTACACCCATGACAGCGACAGTAAAGATTGAACAGATTCCAGGGAATGTGACTACCTCAGCACCAGCCACTACAAGCAGCACATCTACCAAAACAATACCCAAGCTTGATCCTAGTGCACTGTCGATATTGAAAGCAAAATTAATCATCAGCAACCCAGGTGCAGTTAGTAAGTCAAATCTTGTGATGCAACCTGGAAATAAGGTGGTCTCGGCAACAATTCTGAGCACGAAAACTAAGACAGCCTTAACAACAGCTCTTAGTACATCCGCACAAGCCTCTATGGTAGCTTCAGCGGCCAAAGCCCTTGCCGCTATGGTTAACAAGGGKGATAAGTCATCAGTTTCCATGGTAACTACCACTAAGGTTCCACTGTCGACAGTAAGCAGCATGTATACAACACCTTCAGCTGGGTTGACAACTTCAACAAAAGCCCCATTGTCTGTCAGTTCCATTTCTACCAAACCATCAGTTTCCATGGTAACRAGCATACCATCAACTGTAGTGTCCACAATGAGCAYGGCTAAGCCTTTGACTTTAAATAGAATGGGTGTGGAGAGCAAAGGTGCTGTAACTAAAGGAGAAAGTACTATGGAGGGGAGAGCTGAAGCAAAAACCGGTGTTACCATGGTAACAAATGTGACCACCAATGGCTTGGAGAGACAGCAACAACAGCAACAAACCAAATTTCCTCAAACTATGTCAAGTTCACTGAGTAAGCCTTCAGTTACGAGTGTTACGGCACAGCGACTGATGCAGCCTGTATCAACTGCGGTCGCTAAGCAACCACCTACATCATCATCTATGGTTAGGAACGCTACTCCTCCTAACAACTCAACCATCAAAACTCAACCAGTTACTATACTCGACTTTGCTGACATGGTGTCTGCGGATTCACAAAATGACGCACAGGAGATCCTTTCCAACCAGATGCCGCAACCACAGCCTCAGCAGTCATACATCAGTAAATCACCATCACCACAAAAACCTAAAGAACAAACAGTGCCGATGATACCCAAGGTACCCCAAACAATAGTCTCACCACCACGACAGCAGAATACCGCCTATTCTGTATCATCTCCATCAAGTATGATACGATCACCTACACAGATGGCCCAGACAAGAACCAACGTGCCACACTCAAGTGCGACAGCTTTGGGTAATATGCTAATGAGCTGTAACATGGGATCTCCTAATATGGCCAACATGCAGAATAATTATATTGATTTGAATGCTGCTGCAATGATGGCACAGCGGCAACAGGCTGCCAATAACAAGACCTTGTTGGACTCGATTTCAACAGCTTCAAGAATGTAAGTCCCACTGTTCTTTTGTTGATTTTATTGAACGAAATATTCATTCATGGACTTACCTTTCGCTTCTTTTGTATTTTTGATACCATAAGCCTTTTCTGAGCTGGACATTTAATATGCATTTTAGACAGTCTACCAGTTTTATAACTTTATTCAGAAGATTCTTTTTGCTTGTATAATTGCATAATTGTTTTTATCATTTCATGTGTCATTCCCTTAAGAATAAGAATGAGAATAAGATTCTTTGTTTGAGTTGTATTTATATTCATGTGTCTTCTCATACACACCTGTTCAACAAAGATATAATACTAAAGGGAATGACACATGGTCTAAGATGGGGGGGGAACAATATGTTCAAGCTAAAGAGGTCTGACTCATCACTTATTTTATTTTAAATGTTTCCAATAATATATGGTATTTTTAACTCCCCAGACCCCTGGATATGCGCACAACATCTGTACCACTGACTCACCCAGTCATCTCACATCAGCTAAGTAATCCTACACAGTCAGTGAGTGCCTACTTACCTACCAACCTACAGCCTACACTATCCATGTTAGGCCATGCAAATCTACAGGGAAAGACTACCAATCCCTTAAGTCACATAGGTGTGATACAACAGCAGTCAATGCCGTCRTCAATGATGCACATGAATAGRCCACTTCAACAACAGAGTAACATGGTTATGACGCCAAACCCTTTTAATCAAGGTACTGGATCATGCACTGTCCATTCGTGTTGTATGCCTATCCTGTCTGTCTGT